TTCATACGTCCATCCCTTAAGTGACTCTGAACCTGAGGAATTTTCAGATCCGACATAGGGGAATCTTATGCTTCACAATTATGCCATAGAGAAGTATCTCAAGGCTACCAAAGTCATCAAGAAGTAACAAGCCAAGACAGAGAAGATGAAGCTGTTGGAACACCAATCGGAAGAGCGTGAAAAAGAGATCACATATCTCATAGATGAACTTTAGAAAATGCAGTTGATGACTGTTGAACTAAATAAAAAGCTTATCAATTCTGACTTTCACACCGGGAAGCATGATCGTGATCTCAACAATTGCTTCGCCAAGATGGTCCTGATGGAAAACAATGACAAACTAAGCGAACAGGTAAGTGACAAGAAGGACTTTATTATTCAATCTTACGTAATGAATTGTTTGTTGTGTTAAATTTCACTGGAGAAAGAGAAGCTGAGTTCATTGCACTGAAAGAACAGCTCGATAGGGTGATGGAAAAACATATATCTCTTCAAGAGACTGTCCAACCATTGAGAAAAAACTGAACAAGAGCGATGAGGTTATCAAGATGATTAACAAGACAAAATTTTTCTTTCCTGAAGTTCAAAGTTTGAGCCAACAGATTGACACTTCAGACCAGAGTAAGTATACACACAACCAGAAGTTGAAAGGTAAGATTGAAAAACCAAGACCATGCCAGAGTAAGTCTGGTCATACCCTTGTTAAAAAAGAATCAAGTCTCAATGTTAAGAAGAGGGACACTACGTCTCGTGGAAATACATAAAGGATGTTGTGGTAGTCACATGAAAACTACAGTGATGGTGGGGAAAGTATTGAGAGCGGGCTACTTCCGGCCAACTATGCGCGTTGACGCCTTGGAGCTGGTTACAAATTGTTGACCATGTCAAATGTACGATGTAGTAACACATCGACACGCTAAAGAGATGATGTTGATGACTATCCCAATCCCATTCTCCCAGCGGGGAATTGATTTTGGAGGATCGCTTCCTAGACATGTCAAACGGGCCAGCGGGGGAGGAGGGCGGCCCGCAGCCAGTCAAAACCCCCCATTTGGTACGGGCCTCTAAATCACACTCCCGTCATGGGATGGGTCGCGAGCTAGGCGGGCTGTCCCGCTAAATTATAACTAAATAAAATATATATAAAAGCATTCAAATATAAAAGGCAAAACATGAAAAGCCCACGCCAAGCCCAACTTTTTTTCTCCCTTTTATTACGTTTTAGCCCTTATCCACCCCAACCCACCTTCTCTCTTTTCATCTCTCTGTTTTGTTTTCTATTTTCTCGACCTACACGATACAAGTAGGCACTCAGCACTAAATTCCTATAGAATTGGGACTTAAGAAAAAAAAAAGAAAATGAAAATATCATATTCAGAACTTAAAAGCGTGAACATTAGGGCATACGACTAGTAATTTCAAAATTATGTAATTTTTTATTTTCTTGTAATGCAAAAAATTTTAACTACTTCAAATTGTTGAGTCGTATGCCTTAATGCGCACACTTCTGAGTTCTGAATATGATATTTTCATTTTTTTTTTAATTTTTTGGGTCTGGGCCCACAGGCTATGACAAGAAAATAATTTTTATTTTCTTGTCAAAACAACAAAAATATAATGATGTATGTCATAGTATAATTTTAAGTATATGCATTTTGATTAATATATTTTTATTTAACTACAACTTAAATTCTAACCATTACATATGAACTTTTTATTCTTTATTTAAAAGTCAAATATCGAACAATAAAATGATATAACAAAAATGGACCGATAAATATTGCACTATTCAACTTAGGATTTTACATTTCAAACTTTTAATTTAAATATTTTATTATTTAAATATCATTATAGTAATATAACGCAATGTACAAATAGTGTAAGAAATCTTATCCTTTCAACATTTATGAGTAAAAGTGAGCAAAGTTGGATAGCGCACTTCGAAAAGCACGCATGTTAATAATTGTGGTGACAAAGTGAAATCAATGAAAAATGCCTGTTTTACCATAGACGCTTTCCATGTTTGGGTAATTTAATTCTCCACATCTCTCTCTCTCTCTCTCTCTCTCTCTCTCTCTCTCTCTCTCTCTCTCTCTCTCTCTCTCTCTCTCCCCTTGAAAATTTCCGACGACATTGTGGGAACTCTCCACCCTACACGACGTAGTATTACCCAAATGCAGGAAGTTGTTCGTCCGCGCTTTGACAAATTTTTCCTTATGGACTAACCACGTATTCTCTATATACTGAATAACAAGAGGGAACGCCTTGTACCGGTGCTGCATATCCTTCACGGCAGAGTCGTACTCGACCACCGTGCTCGCTTCTAGGATCTTCTTCCACCTCCCGTGCGTGAACTTCGCGGCGAATTCTTTATTATTCTGGGAGAGTTTATAGACCTTCTGTTCCACATCTTTGTTAATGTGCTACGTGCAAAGAAGGTGGGCAGACAGTGGAAAATTAATCAGAATAAGATTAATCAACCCCAACTTCCTGTCACTGACAATGACTGAAGGATGTACATCAGGCCCAATCACATCTCTCAACCGCTTTAGGACCCAGTCATAGCTGTTCTGGCTCTCGTCCTTCAGAATAGCATATGCAATCAAGAAGTTCTTGTTGCACGGCATCATCCCTATTATTTCCACCAACGACATCTTGTACCTGTGCAAATGAGGGCAACAAAAAAAAACAAAGAATAAAAAAAGTACCTACTCAGACATAATAATTAAGATTCGTACTAAATTGTTATTTATAAAGTAACATACCTGTTGGTTTTGTACGTCGAATCTATACCGACGTACCAATAGTCTGAAAGAGAACAGCTGCCTGGGGATGCGACATGAACACACGTGTCAAGGTGTGTGTGTCCTTATGAGAATCGGTGAAAACTATGTAATTAGCCCGGCTAGCCAGATGCATAAGTTGGAAAGTCACATCTCTGCCCTCGAAACTCTCTAATCGGAGTTGAGCCCTGTAGTTGTAAACCTGTTGACGAACCACGTTGTCAGACGGGTTTTTATCCTGTATCGCTGCCAATATTACCGCCGGTCTTGCCTGGGCAGCTGTCATGTCACGAACGATCTGCTTCGACTTTTCACTCAGTCCGCTGAACTGTCGATGACCCTCGGGATAAAAAATCATCGGATGATTATGGTATCCCTTCTGATCATCCTGAGGAAAACATACACTCCATGAATCGTTCGTACCGGCCACTTTTTTCAATCTCACCTCAAACAGGCATCCGGTATATTTTGTTTTCGAACGTCTCAGGACATCATTAACAAGATTGGATATTTTATTACCTCGATAACGTTCCCCTCGGTTACACTTCAGAATCTTCAATGTTCCTCCCTTTGTTGCTTTGAAATAATTAGTTCAAAACAACAGATATTTGTCATGCCGACTGCATACGTAACAACTTTTTTAAGACTATCAAATATCTCATCTGTTCTGAAATAAGGCCAATAATCAATATTATCTCCTCCAAAATCCTCAACTGGTGCCTGCAATATATTACAATGTATGTTACCAATTTTAAAACATAATCAATTAGAAGTAACTATTTAAAAATAATAATTTATATTAATAATATATATATATATATTACTAATATTATTAATATATATAAGTAACAATACATATATACATAAAAAACAATACATTCTAAAAATATTATTATTTTTAATAATAATATATATATGACTAAAAATATGATTATTAAAAATATAATTATTATATATATATACATATAAATATATTATTATTATTATTATTTTTAATATATATTTTTAATAATATATATTTTTATTTTGTGTGTTAAATAATATATATTCTTATTAAAATTAATATAAATTAAAATATTAATAATATATAATATATGACTAATAATTATTAATATATAATTAATAT